ATCCATCCATCTATTTATTCATCATCCATCCATCCATCCATTTATTCATCATCCATCCATCCATCCATTTATTCATCCATCCATCCATCCATCCATCCATTTATTCATCATCCATCCATCCATCCATCCATCCATCCATCCATTTGTTCATCCATCCATCATCCATCCTTCCATTTGTTCATCCATCCATTAATCCATCCATCCAACCATTCATCCATTCTTTCCTAAAGTTTTCAGATTTATTTTTAATAAAAAATTTTAAAATTTTCTTTTTCTTTTCACTTTGTCATTAAAGGTTATTTGTTGTAAATAAGGAGGAACTAATTCTTGCAGCTGAATCAGATTCTGCAACAACTTCCTTCAACCAATCAGCTCACAGTGAGACAGTAAGGCCACGCCCCCTTCAGCAGGTGAGTCTGGTTCTGCTGTGATCCACACAGGTCAGAACCTCCTCTGAAGACAGAAACAGAACAGGTTTTAATTAAAAATATAAACTCTCAGACCCAGGCTGTTTATTAAACTTTGTTTAAATAATTCCATGACTTTCAGGAATTAGGTTTCTGTATTTTTGCTTTTTTAAATTGCTTACTTTTGTTATAAACATTTCTCCTGCAGCATCTCTGTGGATGGAAAGGATGTGGAGTCAGTGCAGAGCYGACAGCACCACCTGCTGGCCAACTGTGAGAACTACACCTCAGCTTCAGTTCACTGCTTTCTGATAAAACCAGAAAATAAAACAAGTTTCATCCTAAGTTTGTGTTTTTTAAAAGCTACAAAACACAACATTTCATTCAGTTTAATACAAGGTTCCTAAACAGCTTTTATTTTTGAAATTCCAGAAATTTCCTGATTCAATTTTGGATTTTATCAGGGCTGAGTTTATTGTAATTATTTTCAATAGTATTTAGAGACTGGAAAATAATAATACTTTTAGGAACTAAGAGTTTTATAAAAACTTCATAATCTAAAAAATTATGTTTTTGCACTGTGACCAATAAATACTATGAGGAGTCCGCGAGGGGGATTTTTTTCTTTTGCGTTACCTCGCAATCCCTTTGTGTTCCCATGCAAAAAGTTTGATTTGTATATGAACTGAATTAAATCAGACTTTTATTTTGAAATATCCARTTACCAAAACTGGCTGTGTTGCCACAAGTTCGTGAAATTGACATTGATGTTGCGTGGCTGCAGTGTGTTAAAATATCAACATATGACATACTTCCTTGTGTGTCTGTGTGATATATTCATTCTGAAGCTTAATTAAAGCAGCAGGCTGACTCACTAATGGTGAACATGTGAGTTTGTTAACAAACCAGCAGCACAACAGTGATAAACGACTTTTGTGTGGAAACGCAAAATGAAAAAAATCCCCGTGTCCCCTCGCAGGCTCCATACTATGAAGCTCTACAGTTTACAGTGTTCCTAAATGTTTTATTTGTATATAATTGGCTCCGCCTCCTACATCGATCCGAGCATCAACACAAACACGTATTTCTCCATAAACATTTATTTAACTATTATAAGAAAAAATAGATTTTTTTACACATTTTTTGACTTTATATGACTTTTTATACAGTACTTTCTGTGCGTTTAGAAAAAGTTTACATCAGTTAATGAAGCAGCAGAGCCACAAGTCAGAAACACAAAGGATGCTGGGAAAAAACACACACACACACACACGCACACGTCAGCCTAAACCAGACAAACTTGGATTAAAGTGGATCGGAGTCAGTTTCAGGTGAGTCAACAGAACCAAGAACACTCAGGTGGATTTGGGGTTTTAAAAAACAAAGAAATGAAAAATAAAGCCACGAAGCCGTCGGAGCGGCGCCGCTGTCGGCTGATTTACATTCAGAGTTTCCTCAGACACACGCAGCGGACAGGAAGTGAACGTTCTCAGAACACATGCGAGGCGACAGCAGAACTTTGGCAACACGTCAGGCTGAAGGTTCGAGAGGCGGCTGGAAAATACAGCAGACATCGAAGTGATGATGTCACAGTGCAGACTGGGACAAAGGGGGCGGAGCCCGGCGGGGTCACATGGTGTGTTCCTGGATGCCCGGGGTGAACTCCTTGGCGTTGGGATTCAGGCTGCTCTTCATCTGGAGGAAGAGGAGGAACGTTTCTGTCAGAAACGGAAGGCGGGGACTTCCAACAGTTTCCTGGACTCTCATTGGCCGGAGCCGAACTCACCACCACGTCCAGATCGCAGGCGTCACCGCGCGCGTYCACCTCCAGCATGAGCAGACCGATCTGCTCCTGCAGCTGGTCCACGCCCACAGAGGGGAGGTCCCTGGAGGGGATGAACCACTCCCTTTGCTCCTCCTCCTCCAGCATCTCCTGGAAACAACGCTCGATAAACTCCTCCTCCCAAAGCTCCTCCTCCACCTGCGAAACACACGTCAGGAAAACAATATAAACATTAAATGAACCTTTTTTTTTTATTAATTAACAAATTGGAATCATAATTAATATATTTTTATTGCAAATAAATAATACAAAAAGAATTAAAATAAAAATAATCAACACAAATTGGAAAAATTATTTTTAGAAAATATAACCATCAAAGTTTTAATCTGCACAAAATTAGTTTATTTATGTCATTCACAAGAAAAAGTCAACAAATTATAATAGAATAGAATAGAAWCAGCCTTTATTGTCCCTCAGAGGGGAAATGTGGGTGTGACAGCAGCAGCAAATACAACAATACACAAAACAATTGTTATTCAACATTAGCAATAATAAATTTAAGAKAACAGCATTAAAATTAAGAAAAATAAATCAAAAAATACTGTACAAGGCAATTAAACTGCAATAAGATAAAAGTAAGATTAAGATACTGTATAAACATAGTTTAACTTATAATAAATAAAAAAGACATTTCTAATGTTTGATGTTTTGTAAAGTTTAAACAGAAACTGAGAATAAACTAGTTTCTTTAAACTAAAAGTGTTTTTCAAGCAGCAGGTCCAATCAGAACCAACAAACTGTGATTGAAAGCTAAATCAGCCAATAGGAAACTCCGTTTGACCTTCATGGTTCAGTTCAGATAATGCTGTAAAACCTTCAGTTTTTGGATCAGAACCAGGCCAGACTCCAGGACCAGGACCTGGTAATGCTCCTGGGTCAGACCTCAGGATGTGGTTCTGATTGGGTCTTGATCTCAGGAACACTTGGTTTCATTTTATTTGGTTAAAATATTAACGATAAAAACTGAAACCAGAACCAAACATTTGGTCCAGTTGGTTCTGGATCAGGACTCATTACTCTGGATGTTTGGTTTGGACTCGGTCTGACACAGTTTTTAATGTTTCCAGGTATCATGAACCAGTTCACCAACAGAATGTTCCGAACCCGGTTCAGGTCCCGGTTCGGTACCAGAACAGGTGTAAAACCGCCTCTCACCTGTCTGTTGAACTCCTCCTCGTTCTCCATCCACATGTACTCCGCGAACGGGTTCTCCTCGGAACCGAACTGGCTGCTGAGGATCACCTCCCCGGCCAGGGTCACGTTGGTGGTCGTGGAGGTGCTGAGGTTCGGGTCCTTCATGTTCCCTCGGTTCGGTTCGGTTCTGCGGGGGGGAGGGGAGATGAGGTTACCGCCAAACAAGCAGCCAGGCCGCTGACTCACCGACGGTAAACAAGAGCAGCGAAGTCCGCTCGAACAGAACCCGACCAGAACACACGGCGACGGGAAAACACGAACGGTTCGGTTCGGAGCTCCTTAAATACCTGCTGGGCTGATTCCTTCGACGGTGGAAGAAGGCAAACGGGTCAGGTTCGGTCCGACTTCTTCAGTAATGGCTGCGCTGCCTCTGTTTGTTTACATCTGCTGCGTCACGCCGAGCTCGATCCTGATTGGCTGAGCGGCTGTGGTGCCTTCACGGTCCGAAAGAACCGTCAAAAAATGTAACATGAAGCTTGTTATTACAGTTACATTTGTCTTTCTGTTTTATGACACATAAACTATCCAAATCAGTGTTTTTGTGTTTCCAGTTCCAGGTCAATGGTGCAGTTCGTCTTCCGGTCCAGAAGGCGGCGCTGAAACAGTCCAAACCTCATCTGTCGTTGTTCTTTAGTAGCTGTGTTTTTGCATCGCGCTGGAGGCTTTCTTCTGTCTTTATCAACTCTGCGGTAAGAATATTTATTTCTGTAGCTAGAGCCGTATTTCATTTCGCGGTGTTTAGCAAATATTTCGATGCGCACGCATATTTTGAAAATCTAAAGCGCCAACAGGAAGCGACAAATACGGCAGCATGCGGAGCTAAGCAGATTAGCTTGTGTCGCAGAGCATTCAAATAAAGGCAAAACGCGTTTTATTTTCATTTCAGTTTTTAAATGTTGTGAAGGATTTTGTTTTAACTACGAGTGAATACGTGACGTGAGTAAGTGGAAACACTCTTGACTGTTTTCAACGCGTCAGTTTATTGATGAAGTTAGCTTCGTTAGCTTAGCAGCTAGCATCCGTATGGATGCTAGCTGCTAAGCTAACGAAGCTAACTTCATGGTCGACTTTCAACAGCAAATAGCGCCGCAGTTTTGTTCAGACAAACGCGTTAAAAACCGTTTTTGCATTTCAAAATGTGCCACAATACGTTTGTATCATAAAAGTACACAGCATGTAGTTAGGTAAAATAAACAATTCAAAACATTTTTTAAAGCTAATATTGATCGGTGTTTTCATCAGTCTGGATACATTTGTGTATTTCGTGCATTAGTATATTTTAAAGCCTACTGATATTCAGACTGACTTCCTGTTAGAGTAGTTTCTGTTGTATTTTCAGATATATTTTCTACTATGTAAAAGTAAATGATTGTTTGAATAATCTAACTTTTAAAATCACAATCGTGCAATCCCTGAGGACTCCGTTAGACGTGGGTCATTTTAAACTGATCTGCACCAAAGCATGAGGTGTTTGGTATTTATTACACACACATGCTTTTGGATTATATAAATTAATATTCAGCAGGTTTACTGTTTTTGTTGTTCACAGAGCAGATGGAGCACTAAAACAAGTTTCTACGTCCTGCAGATCAGACTTGTTTTATGGAAGATGCTCCTCAGGATGAAACCTGCGTTTATTTTATTTTTTGTAAAAGTCCAGTAAAATAAGCTCAGTTTGTGAACAGGGAGCAGAGCAAACATTATTTTCTSAGGAAGCATCAGACCAACAGTAAAGGCGCCCACGTACTCGGGCAGCGTTTTATGAGTCGTGCAACCTCTGCTCATATTGTCCGCGGATGTTTGAGACTTCGTACTCAAGCGTACTGACCGCCTGGCAAATTCTTTAATTTCTCGCAATTTCAGTCATGATGTCAAGGATCAGGAGGAAGACATAGTTTGCATTTTAGCTTTAAAACAATAAAAAAAACTACCTTACCCAGGATCTGAGCTATTTCCTCCCACAAATTTGTTGCTCACTGAAAGTCTTTGTATTCCTTCATTGATGCGTCATAAAGTTTTCTAATCTCGTCCTTGAGACGCTTTTGAAGATTTGACTCCATTTCGTCCACAAATGACAGATTCTCAACTTTATCAGCTTGGTGTGACACCCAGAACCGTACACGCCACTGTGCGCAACGCAGACGTAAAAAATTGATCTCTGCGTGGACCAGTCCGTGGATGTCCACTTCGAGACCGCACTGCGTCCGCCTCCAGTACGCGCAGACCTCCGCGGACCGAAGTGCGCTCGAGTATGTGGGAGCCTTTACAGTTGAAACCAGATATGTGCATCCACTGTGTAAACAAACAGACAAAACATTTGTCCTACTGTCTGACGTTAAATCAAACTAAACATTATTATTATTTGTTAAATGATYAAGTAAAAAATATTTAATTTCAGTGCTGTCAGTAGTCAGCGCAGCTCGTTAAGCTTCACATCTTTATGCAAACGATCCCAGATCCCAGCAGGGTTTGTGATCTGATCTCCTTCATTCCTTCCTTTGGTTGAAGTTTTTCTTCTTTGCGTCTCACATGAAGGTCTGACTCCGCTCCTCCACAGCGACGGTGTCTCCATCGCTGCTCCCAAGTGAAGTCTTTTGTCTCTTTAACGTCCTCTCATGTTCCCTCTGCAGTAATCGCACCTGCTCGGGTGGCTCCGCCCACTCCTGTCCTCTTCTTCTCTCTGGACTCTTGTTTTGAAGGTTGTTTCTGCCTCATTGTGTTTCAGCAGAAGTCCGAAGAGGAGTGCTCCACCCTCACTTTGACATTTCCTCGTCCGCCGAGTCTCTTTGCCGCCTTCGGTCTTGCCTCCACCTGTTGGTGTTTATATCTCGGGGCGTCAGGAAGTGTTCTCTTGAACTTCGACATGAGCGAGCAGCAGTCCGGACGGATGATGGGGGGCGGCGGAGGCGGAGCTCATCTTGGCGGCGCCATGAAGCTGTTTAGCAGTTTGGGGCTGACGCCCTCCGACCTGAACATTCTGGCTGAAATCCCCGAAGACGAGATCACGGTGGAGACGCTGCCGAGCATCCTCATGCAGCTCAAGGGCCGCAAGGCGGCTTCGGGAGACAGGGGGGCGTCGTCCTCGGATGTTTCATATCAAGGAGGCGGGAACAGGTGGGACTCCTCCCCGGGTCCGGGCTCGTCCCGGGCCCAGGCCTCCTCGGACTTTGGTTTCAGCAGCTCCATGTCGGACGGCTCCTCCAGCCGGGGATTCGGTTCTAGTTACGGCGGCGGCGGCGGAGAGGGGCGGTCAGAGAGGCTGTATTCTGAGCTTTCCCACCAAACGTCGTACGGTGGGCTCGGCATGGGGACGCTGATGTCGGACCCCGTCTTTATGCAGCGGAGGATGGACACCCCGTCCAGCGGAAAAGTCCAGGACTTCTTGGGAGTGGCTCCCTCCATGTTCCCTCACGTGTGCTCTCTTTGTAACTATGACGTTCATTCTTCTCTGGTGAGTACGTCCAGCCTGATCCTGTGTTCTGTTGGGACTAACGTTAATGTTTCAGCCTCGGCTGGCCTCCCTCATGTTTCCACACTCCACAGCTCCAGTTGTCTTCATGTAACTTGTTGTTAATCACCTTTTTCAGCATGAGTCTTTCCCTTGGTTTTCTTATTCTGAAGCTCCGCAGCCRTTTAGAGTCGGGTCTGGGCCGATCCGGGTCACTTCCTGTCACTTTGTGTTCTGGTAAAGCAGGTAACATTGCAGCTTCATCAGCCTCCTCGGTTTAACTTCCAGGAGAGTCTTTGCTCGCTGTCTGCATCGACGTGTGAGTTCTACACTTCCTCAGACTCAGACTCACGTTCAGTCAACATTGTCCTTTCTGTTTGTAGAAGAAAACTGAAGCGTTGATGCTGGGCCACGTTTAGAGAGGAAGTCCACCTCCTTTTAGTTCTCTGGTTTTCAGGACACAAAAACAAATTAATCTGGTCTTAATGATGTTCTAAAATCCATCAAATCTGATGTCAAGTGAACAAAAACACAACAGATTCCAGCGAGTCAGTATTTATTTCACAAATCTGGTTCCAGGTCCTGATCCAGCAGTTCGTAGAACCTTCAGCAGCAGAACTTTATTCTATTATTATTTTATTTCTTTATTTTTACAATAAAAAATAGCAAAAAACAACTAAACAATATTGTATATTTCACAATTATTATATTTCATAAAAACAAATGGGATGGAGAATAGCCAAAAAAACCCTCAAGGAGCTATAAGTGGCGATCT